TTTTACAGATCACACTCTTCTATCCGGCCAGCCATGTTGGCTGCCATTGCAGCCAACAGATCCTCGTCCGCTCACACATCTCCTGAATGCTCCGCTCGACAGTGAAAGACCCCACGTCTACAATTATAATCCGGGTAAGCCGAGCTACCCCCTCTCCCAACGTTTAGTTCACTCCGTACACTTATTTTTCAGCCTCGCTCGACATAGGATATCCAGCTATAAACTAGAAAACCAGAAGTCATGGATCCCATCCATCGCCTTTGCGTATATAATCCGCAGCCAATCTCTTCGTTAATCACTCACCGGTGCCAGCAATAATAATCATCTCTTTCGGTTGACAGCCCCAATAAGCTCATACACGGTGTCTAATTCATTTATTAATTTATTTTTTGTGATCGCTGAGCCTCAACAGTTTTCCCCGTTCGCCCGTTGTGGACCAGCTCCATTTGTGATCTCAAGCTCTCCAACATCTCACTTGTCTTATAAAAATAGCGGTCTTAGCGCTACACTGCTTATACGTTGTAGATAGCTGATAGCATATCGAGATTATTTATTGATTTCAGAGTAATAATAAAACTTATAACATTAAAGCTTGTCAACAATACAATGTGCTGTACACTTGTGTAGAGTTCAGCGCCCAACGAAATCGTTTCCTTTTCCCGTGTAGAAGCCGCCGCCAGTAGCTTTAGTAAGTGGAATGGAACCGGATGATGATCCAGATGGGCTAAGAGATGAGAACGAGTTAATTTTTCCAGTGGTGGTGCCAAAAGCGCCAGGATTTCTGGAAGGGAAGGTGTTTTCGAATGGCGACGGGTCAAAGAGAGAAGAATGGACGGCCGAGGGGCGAGAGGGCTGGGACAACGGATCAGCAACACCCGAGATGGCGTTGACGAATGGATCACCGAAAGGAAGTCGTCCATCCTCCCCTGGAAATGGAAACTCTTTTTCAAAAATCGATTTTGAGTTGTGGGAGCGAGACATGGCTCTTGAAGTGTGTGAGGAAAATCACATGATGTTAATTCACGCCTTGTGAGAAATCGTTAATTTGAAGCAATTACTGTTGGTGTGACTGGAAGGGCATCAGTAAGGCGGGTTAAAGAAGTTTCTCATCAAATGGTGCAATCTTGCCAATATTTGTTTTATAGAAGGTCTAGTTTTTGGGAGACA